GATGGATGGATGGATGGATGGATGGATGGTGCTGCAACACACAGGTGAAATGAAGCTGTTTTGACCATTAAATAAACGCGATGGGTCAGTGGTGACGCATAATAAATACGACCTATACGCTGAAGTGACATATATGTTTTTTTCTTCTTCATGATGCTTTTTTTGACTGATGTGACTTATACTCCAGAGTGACTTATACACCATAAAATATGGTATTTATGTGTGCAACATAATGCTTTGTGAGCGTCACGGCTCTAGCCACTTCTTTAATGAAAAATACATCAAATCCTACAGACTCATGGTGCCAATAGAATGATTCCTGCTAATTGTTAAATAGGTGTATTACTCAGAGTTTTTTTTAATTATGTTTAAATTGTAGCCGATTAAAATATAAAAAGAATGAAGAAAAAGGGGAAAAGGTTCACAAATTCATTATTTGTTTTTACCACAACAGATGCACTCACAGTCTAGGGATTTGCTTCACACCCTTGACATGAAGAGCACTCGTTCTGAAAGATGCAATCATGCATGGCTGCACAAGGTCAAGAAAAGCTTACATAATATGCATTTGCAACACTGTCATCTAATGTCCTGTGATCTACACTCGTGTCCAGACCTTGTGCACGTAGAGGTCACATTAATATAAAATTGTGTGGAAAATCATCTAGACTATAATAAAACTAAAGATTGAAATTAACTTGAATCTTTCTTCCTATGTCGTTTTCTGCCATTAGTGCAGTTTTGCTGCCGTTACCATCATCCAAGCAGGTAATGAAGCAACGAGGCACACAAATATAACCAAACTCAGTTGTTGCTGACATTCATGGGCATTCACAGCGGTGGTCTGTTTGTCCCTGTGAAATCCCACTGATCCCCTCAAAATCTAGTCTCAACCACAGAAGGCTGCGTCTGGAGGTGCAAGACAAGCCCTGACAGGTGGCACCGTCCTCAGCCTTGGCTAAGACGGTCTCTGCCACAAAGAAACAGTAGGGGTAACTTCCAAAAGAATACTTGCGTTTCCTCTTAGTTTGTTTTCATTTCTTTGTATCTTGGCATAAAGTACTTCAGCATCATATTTTTTTGATTACCATATTATTAAGTTAAAATATTGGTTCTGAAATGTACTAAATGTTCTGACTGACATGTCAATCAGAACTGCCAGCTTCATGATTTAAAGTCTTCTGAGTCCATTTAACATTATGCCTGATGGCAATTTTGAAAGGTCCATTACAGCCACAATGCAAAACCCTGCTCTAAAGTTCTGACATGCACAAAAAATTATAGCTATTTTAGACCAGTTGCTTGGTTGTTTGGTGCTGTTTGCCTAACAAGTGAAAGCAAAGCTCAAATTATGTTTTCAAAGTCTCTACTCCCAGTCCGTGCAGCTTTCTGCTCTCTGTCATTTCAAACTGCTGGACGTATGCATGTCTGTACATCTATATGGATTGTCTATGTATGCGTTCAGACCATGTGTCTGGATGCGTGCTCACTGTTGCAGAAATTTTGTAGTCTGTGTGCAGCAGCCACCATAACTCATTAGTGCAGTGGGACCATTGGATGAGGCTCATTGCCTCAGATGTGGTAACAGTGACCCCCACAGGAAGAGAAATATACCAACATCCCTGCCAGAAGGAAAGTGCAGGTCATTCCCACTACCTTTACTCATTATACCCTGGGTGCTGGCATTTCATGGAGACATATTGAGCAAGGGCAAAATAATAAAATATTAATGACACCAATTCCTTGTTCGTATCTTAAATAGGATAGGAGAACACTTCCTCCACTGGAATATTACAAGTGATGTGATATGCTTTGACTGGCTGCGTACTCCACAGAACAATTTGTACCTCACAGTGATCTGTCTCAGGCTGAACAAAGCAAAACTGTGTGTTTATTTATTTAGTTATAATAATTATATATTATTATTATTATTATTACAACTAAACTATTGTTAAAATTATACATGTATATATATTGTACTTGAATATCTGAGGAAATGCTGCGAAGAAAATTGTCTTTGATTTGATTCCCTTTGAAGATCTGTGTTATCTCTTGTGACATCATCATCATACATGTGGCACATTATCTTGGGAACTATTAAATTTATCATCAGCCATAAAATAAATGTGTCCCACTGGGGACAAGTGGCGCGGCAGCTTAAGAGAAGTGTGTTTACTAATGTAAGCTGGAGCTCAAGGCTGTAAACAAATCAGCTCCAGAAAAGCAGATTTTTGGTTCAAAGATTAATAAAATGGTTTAGTCAAAAATGTTGTTTCTATGCGCTGCATCTTTAACTACATTAATGAGCCCAACAAACCTGGTTAAAATCGATAAATCATCTAGTTATCATGACCTCACAGGGTCTTCGTATGTCCAGTAGTTTAATAGAATCCATAGTGGAATCACAAAAACCACTGCCACAAAAGGTAAAAGGTATGAGCAGTAAAAAGCACAGGATAACTGCACACTCTAAATCCAACACATAATAATAATAATAATAATAATAATAATAATAATAATAATAATAATAATAATAATAATAATAAT